CATCCTCATTCATCCTGTATTTTTTTGTGTGAAATCTACATCTTTTAGTCTCAAAACTACTTGTTGTGGTTTTTCTTTTATGTATTGTGTTATGACATTTTGTGAAAAATATGTACGTGATGGAGAAAAAGGGATATTATTTTTGGATTCAGCATACAGGAATTACTGTAGAACATGTAAAAATTTCAAGACAATAAAACCATCGCAGGCCTGTGTAATTTTTTAGTCTTTTTACTCATTTCAACTGGTGCTTGGAAAAACAACAAGCTTTAATATCTTATCATCGAAGATCACTTTACTGTGGTCTTTGTATCACATTTTCTCTGTTTTCGGTAATCAAGTTTTGAAAATAATTTGTTCACTTTACTGAAGCTTTTTTTTGCTGTTTGAAACTATGACAAATATCATGGGTTGTGATGCATTTCCAAACAGGCCTAGACTGGCAAAATTCTGGAGGAACTGTTTATTAAAAAAAATATTGCTAAAATTAATAAAAAAAGTGTAGCGAACATGACACTAATAAGCAGTTTTTAGAAATAAGATTTGCTATTCCTGACCCTTCTCTATCTGCTGCCCTTCACATCTCTGTTTTTGACCCCACCGCACAAAAGAGTTTGACAGCTCTTGGTTGAAATGACGTCTGATCTATGGAGCGCTGTGATGGCACTTCCAAATGGGATGAGGGTGGCAAAAATTTCGGTATGTTACTGATCATAGTTCAATAATTTCAAAAGCGGTATTTAAATTACATATATATGTATTAAATCTGTATGATTGGCTTATACACTTAAGTAATCATTGTATGTGTACCTATGGTATACTTATTCATTAGCTTCTATTCTACATCAGTAGCCCAGCATGGCCAAGTGGTTAGGGCGACTGACGCGCAATCTGAGGGTTGTGGGTTCAAATTCCTATCTCATAAAACATGTTCGCTCTTTCAGTCACTTTTCAATACCACTATTCGTTGGTAAAAAGAGTAGCCCACGTGTTGGCGATTGGTTGCGATGACTAATTGCCTTCTTTCACTAGTAAGTTAGGGATGGCTAGCGCAAGTAACCCTCATGTAGCTTTGCCGCGAAATTCAAAATAAACTAAACTGCATCGGCATCCACGTTTCTTTGAGAAAACAGACAAAAGACTTGCAAAACAGAAATGGTTATATATTTGGTAATACTTGGTGGATGCCTTGGAAAATATGAAGTTTACACTTGAAAGTGAACTTGGTAAACTGTATTAATCATTTGTACGAACAACAGATTTTTACAGAAGGAAGCAAATTAAGAAGCAATTTATATTCATGATAAAAAAAAATGTTTTTAAAACACATCAAGGTGATAATGTTTTGTACTTTGTGATAAATGGCAGGTTATTGTAAAGTTGCCCAAAAGATAAATAAATACCTCAATAAACTACACCAAAATGGAGAAACTGAGTCCTTGACAAAAACAAAATATATACATAAAATAAAAACAGACACAATGTGGTTAAAATAAATGATGTTTATATGAAGGATGAATCTATTACATAAAATGTGGGCCCAACTAAATCAAGTACATGACCAGTAGTAGAGTATACATTTTACTTGGAGTTGGTAAACGTTGAAAGAGATAAAAGTTTACAAAATAAGAGCAAATATCTTTCAAATAAATAATGTTATATTATTGAAGATTGTTGATTCAGCTGCATTTCAATTTCTTAATTTGAACAACGTGTGCAGATTAATTTGTTTAAAACCTAAAATTTTGATTTGGGCTGTATTGCTTCTTTCTTATACCTCCGACTAAATTAATGCATTACTTTATTACAAAATGTATTATGTTATCTCCTGTGCCTTGTTATATTTGAGTCAAATTTTTTCAAACTTCCTCATGGTGGCATAAATGGTAACTCTTTTTAATATTCTTGAGAATTATGGCCGAGAACACCAATGAAAGACAAAAAGTCAAGACAATGATTGATTTAATTTGTTGTTAAGCAAAAAGCTACACATTTAGATGTCTGGGTTCTGCCCTCCAGTGGCAATCGAAACCTGATTTTTAGTGTTGTAAGAACAAATGAACTTGTTTGCTGTTTTCTTTATATGCTTTTAATACACTGAATGAATTACACTGTAACCCTTTGGGTGTTATATTCATTTTAATTTTAACTCTGATGACTAATCTTTTAAAGTATTCAAATAACTGATTAAAACTTAAAAATGTGAAACAATGATTAACTACTCTTTTTCTGAGAGTATTTTATTCAAACTAATTTAATCAGTTTTTTTTAATATATTTTTGCACAGAATCATTTTAATGGCTAACACAATTAAATTCTAATTTTAGATTTTCCTTTTCTTAAAGCAAGTTACTAAAAATTACACCTAGCGCAATTCAAACGTCAGTGTCTGGTCAGGTTGCACCTATTTATTCTATCTACCCTTCCAACCATTTAAATATTATCTGTTCATACAGAATGCCCATCTAAAGTGTTTTATCATTCATATATAATTACAAAAGAAAACGTACTCAAAAATGGTTGTCACATAAATGAACTAGGTATGATAATGATTTTAGTTTAAGTTAGTATGAAATATAACTAACACACTTCAACATTTATCAATTTATCACTGATTATATAATATAACTTAAGTGTTAAAGGATTAGGTCCTTCATACTTCATTTCAAAGAGGGAAGACAATATTGAACTATAATAAACATATATGTTAAAAGAGCACAGAAAGCTTAAGTACTGTCCTCAGCTAGAAGGAAAATGGATTATGATAGAGGTTGTGCTGTCTTATAATTGTACAATTATGTTAGCAGCTAAAATAAGCAAATGAGAATGTTCTAATGAGTTGTAATATTAAGTCTCCATTGAACCTGTTAGTAGCATTTGCTAATTTTAAACTAACAAATAATGTCGATTTCAATTGATAGAAGCTGTTAGTTTGCCAAATCAATTTTCAATGTAGTATAAAAGAGTTATATTTAGAAGTTAAGAGTATTTGCTTTTTCTAGAGAAACTAAGATTTAGAGTAATACAATGTTGGATTTTTGTCATTATAAAATATAGCAGTCAGTAACAGATTTCTTCTGAGAACAATAAAGAAATACGTGTGAAAGTTATTTCACTGAAAGAAAGTACCAACAGACACAGAAAATGTCAAGATGCATGGCACATTACTTCAGACTCAATCATTGCTTTGTCTCTTCATATTATTTTAGCAAATAAGTTTATTTACACCAACAACTCATTAAAAGTATAATTTAATTTATCCTTTCATTTTCACTAATTACCACTAACTGTAGTAACATCTTCCATCTTTCCATACACAAATCACATAACAAATGTGAGACTGCTATGAGAAAAACAGTACACTTAAGTCTATATAATTAAAAGAGTAATGTGTGCATGCATGGGAAGCTTTTTAAACTTCATTAAAATAAACAATAATACATAAGGGAGGGGTGGGTACAGGTGGTATTGTGAATTACAAAAGGAAAGGTATTTGGTGAATGGATCTGTCATCCCTCAGAGCCCCATCTCAGACAGCAGTGTTTATGTGTTAAGGTGTTGCATGCAAATTTCTTCTTTTCTTTACAGATACTTAGAGTACCCATACCATCACCCTGTTGAGTTTTAATACAAGCCCCCAATACCCAGGTTTTGAAAGTGTCACTACATCTGGTGTTGCTTGCTAGATACCCATACCATCACCCTGTTGAGTTTTAATACATGCCCCCAATAGGTGATGGTATGGGTATCTAGCAAGCAACACCAGATGTAGTGACACTTTCAAAACCTGGGTATTAAAACTCAACAGCATACCCCCAATACCCAGGTTTTGAAAGTGTCACTACATCTGGTGTTGCTTGCTAGATACCCATACCATCACCCTGTTGAGTTTTAATACATGCCTCCAATACCCAGGTTTTGAAAGTGTCACTACATCTTGTCTCTCTTACTAGATACCCATACCATCACCCTGTTGAGTTTTAATACATACCCCCAATACCCAGGTTTTGAAAGTGTCACTACATCTGGTGTTGCTTGCAAGATACCCATAACATCAACCTGTTGAGTTTTAATACATGCCTCCAATACCCAGGTTTTGAAAGTGTCACTACATCTTGTGTCTCTTACTAGATACCCATACCATCACCCTGTTGAGTTTTAATATATGCCTCCAATACCCAGGTTTTGAAAGTGTCACTACATCTGGTGTCTTACCAGATAAAGTTGATCAGTTTATCATTTTTTATCACACCATTAGGCTCAAATTGTCTATTGTACTTGAAGCGTTTGATGGGTATTACATGTTGTTGAACCCTATTCAACCCACTTAGATTTAACCTTGCAGTCACTGAGACATCCCACACAGCAACCAGACTCATCCAGAACTCTGTGTACCTAATCTCTTACATGCAGGTCACTTAACTGTTTTACCTACTTTAAATACACAGCAGTAACTTTAGATTTTACAAGCTTTGTGCATTCAAATACAAAATACCACAACTAAAAAAATGTTTCATATGCAAAACACAAATGTTCCCCCCATAGTATATTATTATTTGACAAAAATTAGAAATATAAATTTTCTATACAAGTTATATTTGCCAAATAACTTTATAATTCCAATCTATAAAAAACATCATTTTTATTACCTGAAAAATTTCTAAAATGTATTATTTATTATGGACCAGCTATATTGGCACGTATGTCAATCCAATTACCCTTATTTAGAATTACCTGGAGATTGAAGAGAAGCTGATGAGGATGATGCTCCTGGCCCTGTCTTCCTATTCAGTAGGCTGTTAAAGAAGTTTTGTAAAACTCCTTCACTTCCTGCAACTGCATCAGGTCCATCAATCTAAAAGTGAAAATCATTTCTTGTGATAATACAGTGGAAATACTTTAAATAATCAAGACACCATTGCATTTGTTATACTCTGTCTTCTTATCTATGATAATAAAAGGGAGTGTCTGTGTCACCACCATAATTCCAAGAGGAAAGAACCTAGAATCCTGAAATTTTGGACACATACTAAGTGGACCCTGAAGGTCTGCACCTGGGTATGACCTTTTATTATTATAGATAACATGACCTGTAGTGGCATCTATAATTATCTATGGCATAGTCATCTAAAATATATCAACCTAATAACCCAAGCAAAACCGGGTACTTTTGCTAGTTATAAAATAAATATTAAAGTTACTCCCTTTATGTTTCCAGTCATCAAAATGACAATGGTCAACTTGGAACTGGTTAGAACTAAACAAGTGTGCAGTTCACCAAATTAATTAGAATTGTGACAACATTAACTTGGCATTAATTAGCAAACCTTGTATCACTTATACATACTTGACAAAAAAACTACAAACCAAATATATTTTACTACATCATATTAATATGGTAGAATTGGGAAATTTTATAAATTATTTTGAACTTACATCTTACTTCTGCATGTTCAATGTACAATATCATTTTAATTCAAAACACATTTTTGGTGGTGAAGGGATTAATACAAGAAACAACTGAAGTGAAAAATTAAATTGTTCAGATAATTTAAACCATAATTTTTCACCAGTCTATCATTAAAACTGCTGATTACAAACCATGTAAAATAGTAAGACTGCTATAACTTCCCCATAATTTCAAGGGCAATTGGAATGTACCTTGCCCACATGGTTGGGGAATGAGGATGAATATTCATAAATCCAGACTGGATGAGTTCTGTTTCCTTTGGTTGAGTGAGGCATACCCAATCCCATCATTCTGAGCTTGGGGTGTTGCCTTTCTGTCTATGAAAGTTACCGTGGCATGTATTTGATGTATCTTTTTAAGATCAGTTTTATTTTGTATTAATTATATATATATCGCATAAAATCTTGTTGTACAATTGTGCTCAACTAAGGACCCAGGATAGGACCACTCCACATTCGGAATTACAAGAACATAGTGGACCCCTTCCACGAACAATGTACTGAATCTAGATTGATCAAAAAGAAGGGCCATGTACTCCCCAACTGGATAGCTGAGCATCAAATCTGAACTAATTTACGAGTAGCCTCCTGCATAGGCTGGTGCCACTCCTACTGACATCTAGAAAAGACATCCAGGGACACGTGTAGGAGGGCCCCCAACTTAGCCCTCTTCTCCAAGAGTGGAAGAATTCATTCTAACACTCTGGAGGAAAAGCTTCTATTCTCCACCTCAGTGACTGAAAACTGGATGTGGTAAGGATCCCCCCCCCCCTAGCTCCACTAATAGAATCTCGGGGAGGAATGCCCATTGGGGAGCTCTGAGAAACAGTGCAATAAGTGAACCAAGATCCCTAGATTTTCAAAAGGCAATTGTGGAAGATGCAAAAACCTCTGCCAAAGAGCCAGGTCAAAAAACGAGTTATGGTTGACACCACTGAATGAACAAGGTTCAACCTCCTCTCAATATACCATTGCCGACATGCATGTAATTACTGTTGATAAATGTGCCTTTTCGACTAAGCAGAAACTGAAACAGATACATGGCAACCTTAGAAATTAAATTCTGATGCCATGTGAAAGACAGCATAACCATTATGCCAGAAGCTTGAGCTTCTGGATAGCTGAATGTACCATATCAGGTCATGGCTGCCTCCATAGAGAGAGTCTAAAAAAGAAGTGGAAGAGTTGAACAAACTGGAAGGGACTGCAGAAACAGACACCCAGGTGTAGCAGCCAATCTGGTGCTTTCAACAGGATCTGACAATGGGTTGGAACAAATCATATTTCATATCCTGGGTAAAATATGAAGTGGAGAGAAAGCTTAGAGTTGTGATCCCATCCTGTCCTGATGGAATGCATCTATTGCCATAACCCGAAGAGGAGTTACTGGAGACCAAATTGCAAAATGAGAGCCAATCCAAAAGAATCTTGAATTGCAATATCTATTCTGTCGGGAAAATCTGTTTGGATTGAGACAATCAATCTGCTACCACAGGCATCACCCGTGGAACATGGCAAGCTAGAAAGGTGATAAGAGAGAACTGATCCTGAGAAAGAAGTCCAAAATTTGAAAACAAGGAGCCATACACCACGTGCCTCCTTGATGAGAAACACAAGACACCATCATGGAATTGTCAGAGTGAAGCCTGATGATTTACCTTTTAATAAGCCCAGACTGTGAGGCATTGCCTTTTGGAAAGCAAGAAGGACAAAAACGTTGTGTTGGGAATCCTCTTTGTCTGTGCATATACCCTGGAATTCCTGACTGTTGGTATATGCACCCCATCCCTGAAGCAAGACATTTGTGAAGAGATGGGACTCTGAACGAGGTGGCAGTAGAGGATCCCATATTGTTGTAGTGTTCCAACTTACAACTGAACCCCAGTGCTGTGAGTCTGTAAATGTACAACCATCCCATAGGAGACTAAAAATTCAACAAAGTAAAAGAAGTCATAGGAAAAAGCAAATCTAAAGTCTCAAAAATGTCAAGGATCGCCTCAAAGCCCCTCCCCACCGGAAGACCACCACAGATCCAAATATGTGTCTCCATCTCACTACGAATAAGATTACTGACAGTCTCAACCGAGAGTGACTCTCCCCCTTCCCCAATTGTTGTACAACACTAGGTATCAGAGGTGGGATACAAGAGACCAAACTTGCCTCAGTGCCAGAAATAATAATCTAGAAATTCGTAATGTAAATTGGCTTGCAAATCGAGGAAACCTTTTTTTTCTTAATTAGTATAATGGTTATTACGAAAATTAACTAGATAACACAATAACATTCAAAATATCTCCCAACATTCGTAATACTGGGAAATCTCTTAGTGACGCTTTGTTGAGAAAAAGTAAAACATTATCTGAATGAGGTATATATATAGTACCAAGATAGAGGGCGCATTGACGTAGGTGGAGAGTATCACGAGATAAATATCCCCAAGTGCAACTGAGTAGAGTATAAAACACTGGAGCAAGCAAGAAAAAATCAGACCAATGCTAAAATAGGCAAAGGAAGAAACCCTGGCAATCAAGTAATAGCTATGAGTGGAAGAGGAGGTATGTATGTTTTGGAGCTAATTTTTCAACAAAAGTTTTTTCCAAGTCAGTATCATTGGTTGTGATTTTGTTTAAAAATGTAGATATGCAGTACATAAAGATGATATTATCCATGTATGCTTTTTTTTAAAGTAATGAAAAACTTCCATCAAAGGTTTTTTTTTAATATTCACAAATGCAACCAAGTTATGCTGCGTGAAATTAAATTTTTTTTTTTTTTTATAAACAGCTAAAATCGTCCAATACAGCAGTAAAAGTTTTTATACTTTAAGACCCTAATTGCTTCCAGAACAGTTCTAAATTTTGTATTATCCATAGAGAAAAAAATTAGGTTTTTATTTATAGAAAATATATCTTACATCAACTAAGTTGTTATCTGTTTTACCTGAATTTTCACTTACTTTCCTTGGTGAATTTTGCACAGTTGTTGTGCCAGACAACCTTCTGTCTGAGGTCTTCTCTGCACCACTAGGAGTCCTCATGGATGATTCCTGCTGCAAGAAGAAAAAACAGAAAAAATCAAATATGGTGTATGTGTGTTTTCTTTTCTCTAGCAAAGTTATTATATTTCAAACAGCAAACCTATAATGCAAATATTCACTAACAGGCAGTTCTTTTATACATACATGAAATGGTGTTGCTTCAGCTTGGAATTGCCAGTGTTAAGTATAAGTTACTTTCTCTTCAATGAACAAAAAAACACAAAGTCATGAAATTACTTACACTCCCAATCATTAACTCCTAAAAATAAACAAAATCGCTGTACAAAAAAAAAAGGTTTGAAATAGGTTCTCACAAAAGTACAGACAAGTTATTTTACTACTTTTCCAATTTTAACAAACTGCCATAAACATTACTCATGAAAGATAATCTATAAAACGTCTACATTTTACTGCACCTAGATGGAGTGACTAACTTTTTAATTATTAGGTACTGAATTATAAAACATACTTTTGTAATTAATATTACAATTTGATACACCACTTAAACCAGCTTAACAGCTGATAAAAGTATTTCAGTATAGAGGAGTTTCATTACAATGTTAATTGTGCTTTCATATTAACATATTTATTTAAATTTGCAAAAAAAATATACAGCAGCAACACCAAGCTATATATGCAATACTGAGACAGTGTTACAACTGTGAGTTAATGGTCAGTATAGATTCTCCATGCAGCTATTGTACCACATCAATGAATGTGAAATTGTAATAGTCTCAGGATTGATAGGGTTAATGCAGTGGAACTACACTATACTCTATAGGCTAACAATTAACATAACATTGATATTTCATACATTTTTTTTATTTTGTAATAAGAAATAAAGAGCGGTAAAATTCATAAAATTGATATAAAACAAAACATGGTGAATTGCAGACCTTAAATGATTCATATCTCTATTCTCTTAAATGTTTAACAATTATTTGTCTACTTTACAAAATATAACTTATAAATTGCACAGTCCCAAGAAAACTATGACATATAATGACTTACAGATCGTACACTAGTTGATAGTTGTTGGTTAAGAAGATTTTGTTGTTTTAACAAGAAAGTTTGGTCCTCTTCAGCTGCAATTTCACCTTCTCTTTGTACTGGCTGGTCATAAAAAGTATCACGATACTCATGTAAAGCAATATACAACTGCAGTTTACATAATATGTTAAATGCAAACAATTCTTTACTCAAAATAGGATGTAACATAATATGACTTAATGCTATTATAATATCCCAATTTAGGGAACAAGTGATACATTCTTGCAATTACAAATTAAAAGTAAAATAATTCTTCTCTGAACTCTAATATGATTGTATTATCTATATGTACATAATATAAAAATATTAATTACTTTAATATTATAATGGTAAAGAGAAATCTGTTTAATTTATTACACCTTTCAATTTTATATCTTTTAAACATCACTGAGTGTCTTGAAAGTCGAAAGTCCACTCAAATGTTTATATATTTATTCTTTATTTATTTTGCAATTAACAACAAAATATATATAAATAAAATCATGCATATAATCACAATAATTAATTTCCTTGTTTAAATAGATACAATAACAGAGGGTTGGTAACAATAACCTAATCCCTCAGCTATCTCCATACCTGATAGGAGGAGGAGATGTAAGGCTTAGGTATTCACCACTGAATCATTGTCATAGGACATGCACATCTCTATGTGATCATATTTCATTTTAAAGTTGTACAAAAATAGCTGTATTAGTGACAGGGACAATAATATTCCTAGTTTGGCTAACTGTGAATTCTTAAGTCTTCTTAAACTTAATAAAACTTACTACAAAAGAAAAGGAAGGTACGTATTAACAAATCTTTTGTTTTTGTTTTAAAAATACAAATAAGAGAAAAACTTGAAACTAGGCTAAAGGTCTCTAGTTATAACTTGACAGTCTACATACTGCATTAACCCTCTGTGTATGGGTTTGGTGTATTTGCTCAACCTTGTAACCATGAAACTATACAGAGGTGGAAGTACAGCAAATGAGCCAAGACAGAAAATGTAAGCTGGCAAGCAGTGCAAGTAAAAAATTTTCATCAGTTTATATCTTAATAGTTGCACTAAAAATACAGCACAAATATGTAAATACAATCTACAGGTACAAAAACTCTACATACAATAATTGCAAAAAAACTTTTTAATTGTAGAAAAAAAGTGCAAATATAAGTTTAAAAAAATTCCCAAACAAAGAAAAACAGCTATGTTCAACAGACTTCTGTTCCTATTGCTTTAAATCCAAAATTACAAAGTCCCTATTGACATCATTTGAAAATTAAATGCAAATACATTTAGGACTGATAACAGAAGGCATTTCTTTAGACAAAGTGTCATGGGTATTTGGAACAGCCATGTTGTTCAAGATTCTTCAAGAAATAGCTCAATTAAATTCATTTTGTTTTATATCCTCCACATGCAAAATTTTAAAAGGCTTAGCAACCTACATCAAGCAGCAACCTAGTACAAAGGTCATAACTAGAAGAGATAATTGTTTGCTTTACTTCTTTATTTACTGTTGTATGTTTTAAGAAAAATAAGTTTAAGAACTTATTTCTAAATAGCAATAATTTATATATAATGTCTAATAACTGAAATGACTATTTTTACAAAATACTAGTCTATTAAAACACACCTAAAACAGGTCACTTTGTAAAGACTAAAGGTCAGTTTTATATTATTGAATATGGCAACACGAGTGCACATGTGCCACATCATTGTAACTTCTGTACTGTTAGCCTGGCACAGCTGAAAGGCCAACATAATAAAAATAATAAATGTATAATGTTATGAGATTTAATTTATTTAGTTTAAACATTTATGTTATAATTATGTTATTATGTTACAATTTGAAGTCATTCTAGAACGAAAAAGGCATAATTTATATATATTTACTAATTTTTTTTAACGTTGTTAGGAGATTGATCAAATCGATTAAACTCACACAGAGATTCGTTACAGAAAATAACAGATAAAATATAAAGTTTTTTCTTAAGAAATGTTTGATAACTTTGAAAATTTTCTGATGCAAAAAAGTATTTTTAATCTTAAAATTACTTTGCATGTTGGATAGGTGACATTCAAAAAGAAAAAAAAAGACATGAGAAAAACATTGCTTTATAAACCTTAAGACTTAAAAAATCTGATATTTTGCAAATGAAAGCATTGTAATGTTAACATACACTTACTAAAAGTTATAGGATGAAAACTATAACAAACACAAAATGGTTAGGAGGTCAGGCCCAGAGACCGAGCCAATGCTGAAAGAGTTAATCCAGTCCATAACTGAGGTTATTCTTGTTTTTTTGGACTTTGCTGAACTGGCTGACAAGTTTCACGTACTTGACGGTAACCCTGTTTACCCAGTACTTCTTTTCTTAAAACTCTTCACTTGCAAAAAAATTCATGTGAGAAGTGATCTCTTTTGTAGAAATAGTTTTATCTTGGATATTTCTGTCACTTTTTCTGGATTTTAGCATTGAATTCACTACAACAGCTTTGTTTTCTGAAGGGTTTGTGTTGATTTTCATCAATTTTCTGGTTTCTTGGAATCTTACTTTTCTTTTTCTTGTTTTGCTTTTTCTTAGCCAAGCTCTTTTGAATAGACTTAAAGACATTATGGTTTGGCACTTGGAAGGGTTTGATAACTACGCTAACAGTAATTTGACACATTGTTCATTTTTCTTATATTGATTATTAGGAAGCTTTTTTCCATTGCTTCCATAATTCAACAGTGGTTACAAACAATACAAAACATTGTCCAGAAACGTCAGCTTTCCATACCTACGGGAGGGGTATAATTAGTGGGTCAGAGGTGTATTGTTGAATTTTTATTATGTGACCTCTGTTGGTCTGGCAAAACAGATAATTCAGCAAGCCTCTGGAACCAAGGGTGTCAAAAAATCGGTGGTGTACCTCTACAACCATGCAGTCAACACATTAATACGAGTATAAAATAGAGCAATAAATTAAAATAAACAGAAATGACAGTTGCCACCTAGTGGTGCATTATAAAAATGCAAAATATTTTTTAATTCAGATTTTATACATATCAATACAAAAGTACCTCTCTTAAAATCTTTTTCACAGTTACACAAAAATTTGTATATACACAGAAAATTCCCACCCTTATATATATATTCTATAACTCTGAATGTAGTAAGTGCATCTTCAAGAAAATAGGCAAGCTTATAAACATTACAAGTTTGTTTTACATAAAAAAAAATCAATTTTTTGTGAATTATTTTTATTAAATATTTGTCTGAGTTTATGAAACCTTTAATGAATCAGTACGAGTGTAGAGTTCATTCATGCTATAAATAAAAGTACTTCTCTTTATCTTACAGTTTCATATTTTATTTGCATAACCTCTATAATTTCCTAAATGAACATCAGAAGTTTCTTCTTTAAAACTTTACACTTTATCTTTCTTCTTCTCTAACTGTGGTGAAATTATCAATGTACAGTAGTGAAATGAAAAGTTGAGAAATATGAAATAAAATCAATAATACCTTTTTTTCTAATCACTACAGGTTATAATAAAGAATTCCAAATTACTTATCTTAACAGCTTAACTCTTAAAATTTCCACATATGCTTTCTTTTATTTTAAGGTATTATTGCTGTATTTCAGACCAACTATTGCATACGAAAAGCAAGATCCCATAAGTTGTATCCAATAGACATGATGTAAATGCAGGATCAAGTTACCCATGTTGCTAGCTCAAGTTATCCTCTCACTGTGCTATGAAATTTTAAACATTACTTTTAACAGTTTTGTTATCTATAAGTTAATGAATGTCTTAAAACTATTATAATTTATCTAGCTTTCTATGTAAGCTATAAATAAGATTAAAAAATTCCTTAAACACTCAGAGCACCAGAATAATATTGTCCTCAACCAAAGAATTCCATTGACTATGGCTTTACGGCAAGAAAACTAAAAAAGGATTCATAAGATTTATATAGAGATTCTACCTACTGGTTATAATAAGCATGTCCATCAGCCATATAAAATTCGAGAAGTAAAACAATCTCACAAGTCAGAGAGGGGAAGAGCTCCTCTAGTAAATATGACAAATTTATTGATATTTCAGCAAATCAAGAAGATACAGGTTCATAATTTAGGTTTATGCTTTTAATTATGGGACATAGAAGAATGAAGATTGAAAATTTATTATGTACTTCATTTTGAAATTGAATAGTTAAATCTTAGACAATATAAGATTTGAATTATAAACTACATTTTCATTCCAAGTTTATTGACATACATTCATAATAAAGTGGTTAGTTAACTTTTGAATGTACCACTGTTAAAGGTCATGACAGGAGCAAAATAGCCATGTCTTACACCAAGGGTTAACTACTTATCATTCTACAACTAAATAGTTATATTTTCATGTTGCACCATCACATTTTAAAATTGTTCTCATAACATTAACACAGAGAAAAATGCTCACCTTTCTAATAGTTGGATTCACAATAAAATCTGAGTACACATCATCAGGAGTAACTGATTTGAGGTTCTCATATAAGATAGAAATTTTGTTTTTGTTGTCCCATCCAGATGGGCTAAAAACAAATATATTTGTAAAATACTTTTGAAGAAAGAGAAATCTCCTTAAAAAGGGTCACGTGATTAAAAATATAGAATCTTAATATTTAAAATAAAATAAAAACTAAAGCTTTGAGATTATATTATTTCAGAATAGATTTTTGTATAATTCTAAACTTTACTGCAACCCGACAGCCTTCCATATCAAGTAGATATTTCTTTCTGTGTTGATATACCATGACAGAGTATTCTTAATCTTTATATCTGTCTATTAAATTAAAACCACACAGTTCAAAATCTAGTTGTTTATTTATCAATTAACTAACTGGAACCGTGACACTGTTATCAAGAATTATAAAAAGGACAATAAAATTCTCTGTAAAACTATATCCTGACAAAATTGGTCAAAGAAATTAATAAAGGAGAGGAAAAACAGAAATGTATAATATTCTAGTGTTTTGTTAAATATACATTTTTTTCACCAAACACTTACATGAACACTGAATCTTTTTCAACTAAAAGTGCTGGTGTCTTGAATGGAAAACTGTATATTTTATGGACTAGGTACTTATAGAGTAAGTCACAGTTTTTATCCTCTTTCACAGATGTATAAACCAGTGAGGCACCAACTGATTTAAGTTAAGAAAAACGTGATTACACATAATATATATATATATATATATATATATATATATATATATACTAGTATAGTATTAGTTATAATACTACTAACTAATAATAATAACTACTAACTAAACTAACTAATAAATTAACGTTAAGTTAAGTAAACGTAACTAACTTAC